TGCCGTCCTCATGAGCTGATGGACCTCAGTGGACAGACACACAGCGCTGAGAGTGGCATCAGAAATGTTTGCCTTCGTGATCATAGGAGATGCTATCAGAAACAGAAAGGAATCTTCAAAATTGCAGCTAGCTTCAGTCAACATGAAATTTTGGATTTCAGAGCCACCTGGTGAGCTCCATGTGTGCTGGGAGACAGAAGCAAGGTCCTGCAGCTCCTGGTGGTTATCACCCATACCATGGCCGTGGGTCACAGAGCAAGGGACACTGCCTAGATGGGAAGATGACCCCATTCAGGCCCTGTGATGTGACCCTTTGTGTGGCTGCACAGTGAGCTAGCTCTCTGTCTGCCAGGGACAGAGATATCCGAGAGGCCTGGAGGTGCCTCTGGAAAGCCTAGGGATGGGAGCAGGATAGAGTGAGAGTGCAGTGTGGTCTGTGAGAAGTAGGGTGACGGCTTTGCAGCAATGTAGTGTTCCTGGGCATTGAGGCTTTGTTTCCCAGGTTTTAGGATTACATGATGAGTTGAGTTTCTTGGCTTTTTTTGTTGTTGTTGTTTCTTTTGTGATTGTAGGGGAAAGTGTGAAAACTTGGATGCTGAAGTTTTAAATATAAATTAAAAATAAGCTTCAGATATGCTGTGTGTTTTAACTCAACATTTTTAAGTAGCTCTGTTGGGGGTAGTGTTGCAGTAAGTCAGCTTGTGAGTTTTTTGATTGCCTTGGGGTTGACAATATTGCAGGTTTCTCAGGTCAAACAGGAAGGGATCTTGTTGGACAGGAAGATCAGAAGGGAAAAGAAGGAGCCTGTCTCAGAAGCGCCAGTGTTATCTGAATTGCAAAACCCCATCTCGTGTCATTCATCTCACTGGAACAGTTACTTGGTTGACTTGCTGTCTTAAGTGTGTGGCCCGGCATCCTGTCCTAGTTGGGGCTGGTCCCCACCGGCAGACCTCCATCTCCCACTGGTGGTGGTGGCAGCAGCACAGACCTGCCATCAGTGAGCTGAGGTCCTCCTGCTCCGCTCCAGAGGTGGCAGGAGTGGCTCTGCTCTCTGCATGTCTCTTCTTTCCCCTGGTTGCTCTTCAGTGTCTCCCCGGCATCCAGCAAGGCTGTGGGTCGCAGCTGGCCACACAGCCATCTTCCCAAAGGCTCCTCCAACAGAGGTGCTTCTCCAGATGTGCCCTGCTCTTCCCTTGCAGAGATGAACCTGCACCATTTCTCTGGTGAGGCTGATACGACCAGACAGGGTTGCAGGGCTCATGAACGCTGGCACATTTCTGAATGCAGTTGTTCTGTTGTCTGCGATTTGATGTCTTCAGTTTTCCACCTTTTGATTCACTGAGGTGTGACATTACCTTGTTCTTTGGGGAGAAGTCTCTCTTTCAACACTAGATCAAAAAGAACTGGTTGGGGAGAAACATTCATTCTGCCTGCTCGGGGCCCATACATGCTGCATCAATTTTTCAGCTTCTCTAAGGTTTTTGTTGTTTTTTTGCTGGTTTTTTTTCTCTGCTTTTTCAAAAAAAGGTTTTGAAGGTAGGAAGAAGCTTTGAGAGAGTCAAGGTGTGATCAACTGCATCTTTTTTTGCAGGACATTTATGCATTAGCCTACAGTTGCTCATCATTGGTAGATTAGTAAACCTGGGTCTTGAAGGATCTAAAGAAACAGGTTTTCCAGACCTGAATATCAACCACTGAGATGACTGCAAAATGCTTTTATCCAAGTATTATTTTAAACAGTCAGTGCTTCCTTTTTACATTAGAAGATGATGGTGCTAGTATTTTTCATGTAGTCCAGTCATTTGTTTCCTATCAACTTGAGGCTTGTTGGGTCATGTCCGCACGCATGCCGATCCTCAGCCATAGCCAAATACTAGCCACTGTGACCCAACCAGCTGGCCAATGTAATACTGAGGGTGGTGAGAGGAGGCAGAGGTAAGCAGAGCCAGTGGGCTGAGCAAGTGCTTTTGTTCATCTGATGCTGTCACTGCTTCCATGGGGTGTACAGGCCATCAGAAACTCTGCTCTCATGGTGTTCCCTCCCATCTGTTGTTAGAAAATCAAATGACAGTAGATTGCACTTGCAGCCTGCCTTCCCTTTTCCCTCTGTGATGTTCAGGAGAACAGGAGCACAAGGAGGTGTTAATGTCCTCAGCTTTTCCCTTCATCTTTCTAGGAGCTGAATTTTCTTCTGAAATTACTCAAAAGGGAGCCTAATATTTTTGGAGTGCAAGCACAGAAAATGAGGACTAATTCCTCCTGGGTGGTGAAAAGGTCAGGTTGGACAGGGCTTTGAGCAACCTGATCTAGTGAAAGATGTCCCTGTCCATGGCAGGGGGGGGTTGTGCTAGATGATCTTTAAAGGTCCCTTCCAACCCAAACCATTCTGTGATTCTGCTCCTGAAGTAATCCACCAGAATTGTTGGGCTTTTTGGCTTTAAGAAAAGTTCCAAACCCCCCTCAAGTCTCTGCTCTCAAGAGCCTCACATTTTAAGGACGTGTTTTCTTACCCATCTTGCCATCCGTCCTTCTGACCATCACCCAACCTTGCCTTGAAGGGCAGCGACCCCCTAGCAGCACAGATCCCCTTCGGATGCTCTCCAGGTCATGGAGCACCATTTCTGCTGGCTCCTGTGAGAGGCAGGAGCTGAGCTGGAAATGTGGGTTGCCTTTCAGCGACTACCACACTAGTGCTTGTTTTGTTGTGTAGTAATAAGCGCTAATTGGCCCCAGCTTGTTATCAACGTTGCATGGGAACCATTTGTGGAATAGTGGGCTGGGGAGACCCCCAAGGGCTCCTGCTCTCCACCAAGGAGTGGCTTCCCAGGGCTGATTGGGGCTGAACTGATGCTCCGTGTGGGAACATCTCCATTTGTGAGCCACGGGAGGGTCATGCCTGCTGGCCTCATGCCAGCCTTGGTAGTGGTCCACCTGGCAGGTGGGAACCCCCTCTGACATGGCAGGAGGTTACAGGGAGTTATAGCGAGACCCCTTGTCCTTAAGCACACCTGAGGGTATGAGGAGGAGTTGAACCCTTTGGGAGGCCGGACAGCACTCACCTACAGGTCTTCTCAGTGGCAAAGCTTCAGTGCCTCTCTCCTACCCCCATCCCTGGGCACAGCATGCAGCCCCTCCACGTGTTATCTCATTTATCAGTGTCAGCCCTGAACCATTCACCTGGAGCCTGTCTCTTCCTTTCCACTGCTCTTCTACCGTAGTCGAAATACCTGGCATTCGCTGCAGCAGCAGAATATCTCCTGCAGCTGTACCCTTTGTCCAGTCACTCAGTTTGAGTGATGAAGGGCATGGAAAACTCCAGAGGCTGGTCGTGCTGTGGAGGAAATGCCACCACAGCTTGCTACAAGCTAGAGAGCGAGGGAGGCGTGAAGGAGCTGGCATGCACCAGCGCTCTTGAAAAAAAAGCCTTTACCACGCGTGCAAAATCTGGCTAAGTCTGGGTAACGTATGTTATTGTATTTGTAGGATGTGGTGAGCTGACCTCATGCTGGGGAGCACCTGGAGCAGGCAGATGGCGTCCAGACCCATGGTATGTCGAGGCTTCTGCCAGCGGGAAAGTTGTGGTTGTCGCTTCAGAGGTGGCTCTGCTAATTTTGGATGAGCAGCCTGCTGATGCTGATGTTTTTGGGATGGGACTTGTAAGTGCCTTCTCTAAACCCGAAAATCAGTTTACAAAAGCCTGTAGCTTTTCAGGCGTTTGAATCTTGATTATTCCCTATGAAGTTCCAGACCGGGTCCTGATGAGTGTGCCTCGTTTTAGTTTACTTTCTCTTTTTGCACAAAATTATGGGAGTTTTTCTTAAGAAAGGACTTGTGAGGAGAAGGGATTAAATAATTGGGAGTAGTGGCAGTGAAAGACGGAGCACCAACCTGGTGCAAGGTGTGAGCGCAGGGGATGCTCAGCTGGGGAGCAGCACCAAGGAGCACAATATGGATAACTTCTTTCCTCCCACCTGTTGTTAGGAGCAAATAGGGAGTGAGCTAATGACGGGAGACTTGCTTACGGTCGTGCACTGGAAGCTAATTAAAACCGGTGACAATGGTAATTGAGTAAGGATGCTTGAGGATAAGTATGACCTCATGTCTAAAATGGTAATGAGCCCTATTAAAATCCCCACCAAAAAGAGAAATGAAAGAGGAAACAGAGGCAAAGGTGGGGCAAGGGGAGTGGGCACAATACCTGCCAGCCAAAGCGTTGGGAGGGATGGGGAGCACCGAGGTGCCGGGCTTTTAAATCTCCTTAATAAACAACCCGCTTCTCATCTAGCCAGGCTGACGCTCGGGCTGAGCCAGCCAAAATGCTTTGGTACGCGTGTCATTCAAGCGTGTTCCTCCCCTGCTTGCCCAGACCGGGGTTTAGGTCCCATTAGGCGATGGCAACACTTGTTGCTGTTTGTTGTTGTCTTTGCTTGCTGATTCTTTGCTGGGAGAAGGGGTTGTACCAGGAAACTGGCAGATGTTTCCTGGGGCTGGGAGAGGAACCTGCAAAAATATGCCCTGAAATTGCACCAGCATGGGAAAATGCATTGGCAGCAGAAAGCTGTGGTGAGCTCAGGATGCTGGGGTACCACGCTTCAGCTTGGACCAGCACAGCACACGGTTTCAGTTCTGCAACTAGGGTGTAGCGGTCGGGGCTGCTGTGACCCTGGCGTGTGTTGGTTTGCAGGGTGGCGTAGCAGGGCTTGGGATGCCACTGAGCTCCATGAGGACCCATGCCCAGTGCTGACTTGCCTCGCCACAGAGGACACCCTGAGGCACACCAGGAGGTGGGTGCTCTCCATCCTGGTCCTGGATGTACACTGCATCACTTCGGGTAAGCTCAGCCTTGG